GCTTTAAAATCTTATCAAATAATAAACACAGTAAGCGATAGATGGCGCCACCGGCTTACTTCATATGGAGGTGGAAGCTTTAAATTAAATTTAAAAAAATCATAAATTGCTATTCAATAAAATAATAATAAATAATTATCATTAATAGTTCATAAATTATTACGACTAATATTTAACAAATTATTCATAATAATTTGTTCATTATTAAGGAATGTATGTCAATTTAATTTTAACACTAAACATTTTGGTTACCATTCTAAAAATTGTAATTCTTGTAGCTTTATTGACAGTAACATTATTAAAAAAATTTTAAATAAATTATCTTAATATTGTTATACGAAAATTGTGTTCTCTACAGGTTTTGATGGCAGTCTGGAAAGCCATTTTTTTTAAATGACATGTCATTTCTTACTTCGTTCTTGTTGCATCAGATGCTCTTTGATTTGTTTAAAATTTTCAGCCGTATTCTCATAGTTATTCCTCATCAATATTTTTTTTAGTTAAATGGATGTATTATTATTTACTTTTTTAGAATTCCTCTTTAATTGCTATTAGTTAAACGTCATTTTCACCAATCTCCGCTTATAATCTTTTCACATTTACTACAGAAAACTACTTATTTCTAATTCTTCTTAATCTTCTGTATGTCATGAAAGTAAAATAATCTTATAAATTCCACTCTTATTTCGTGGACAGCCATCATGAAATGCCACGAATGAAACGGAAATATTCTGATTTTTAAAATAAAATAGGGATTCTTTCTTTTTTTTGAAAATGCATTTTTATCTAATACTTACGCGGAGTTTAAGAGGGAGGGAGGGATGGGGGTTTTCCCCTTATTTTGAAACTTTTGGCAAGATCAGTTTCAAAACTCGGAATTCTTACTATTTTTCACATCAGGGCAGCCAACTCGAAGAACGGGGAAGCACATTTTGAAGTAAGTGTAATTGTTCGCTCCTTGCTATACGCGAGTTAGGTGGGCGGATATTTGGCGAAAGTTGTTCAAGTAATGCAGGGATGGGCAAACTACGGCCCTCCGTAACTTTCTATCCGGCCCGCGGATAGAATTTTAATTTGAAGGTCTGGGGAAAATAAAAAGAAATATATACTTATAAACTCATGCTTGTGAAAATTGCAACACCATGAAGGAATCGTCATAATTGAATGAACAGTTGAGTGTCACAGTTGAGTGGTAGTGGTACAAATAAATGATTAAATGTTCAAAGCAAACAATCAATAACAAGAAATCGGAATCAGTATTTTGTGTAGCCACCACGCGCCGCAGTAAGTGCTGCTACACGACGTGGCATAGAGTCAAACAAATTTTGAATGTCTGTCAGAGGAAGAGCATTACATATTGTTTTTATGCGCACCCAAAGTTCGTCTGCAGAAGCAACAAGACGAGGATCACGAGCGAGACGCCGACCAATGAAATCCCAAACATGTTCAATCGGCGACATATCCGGGGAATACGCAGGCCAAGGAAGAAGCTGTACCTGCCGCGTTGCAAAGAAGGATTGAACAGTCCTAGCTATATGAGGGCGGGCATTGTCCTGATGAAATACAGCGCCTAGCAAGCTTTGAAGGAAGGGAACAGCTTGGGGCTGTAGAACTTTACTGATGTACCGGTTGCTGTTCAGATTGCCCACAATTCTTAGCAATTGAGATCGTCCATGATATGCTATGGCACCCCAAACCAAAACTCCGGGTGTTCGTCCACTGTGGCGTTTGATAATGCACTCCGGAAGGTGGCGTTCACCGGCATAGCGTCTGACACGAATGCGGCCATCATGGTACCACAAAATTAAAGCGGGATTCGTCAGAAAACACGACATGCTGCTAATCAGCACGCCAGTCTCTATGCTGAGCGGCCCATTGTAGCCGCAGGTGGCGATGGTTTAGTGTGAGAGGGATCCTGTATAAAGGAGTCCTTGCGCGCAGTACACGCTGCAGCAGACGTCTACGAATTGATGAAGCAGACAATGAAACACCTGTAGCTATTGACCACTGTGCTGCCAATTGTCTAGAGGAAGCTGTAAGGTCCGTCAGCGCCATGCGGATCAGGTGTCTATCATCGCGAGCTGACGTCTCATTTCGGGGTCCACTCCCGGATTTACGAGTTGTCCGACACTCGTCCGTCCACTGCTTCCAAAGACGCATCACTGTGCTGCTGTTAAGCTGCACACGAGCGGCTACTACACGATAAGACAATCCAGCTTCACGAAAGCCGATGATTCTCCCCCGTTAAAACTCTGTAAGTTGTTCAAATCTCGCTCTCTTTCATCGAAGAGAGTAACGATTGAGCTAACGTTTACCATTAGCAGATAACCACCGATAACCATACACGCCTCGCTACAGCCGTCTATTTATTCGGATCCATCCGCCGTTCAGAGGGCGCTGCTCAGCATACGCATGCGCTACGGATTTGAAATTCTAATCATTTGCATATCATGCGCTAATTTGCATTTCCTGAAAATTTCAGCTCACTAGCGTAAGTCCTTCATGGTGTTGCAATTTTCACAAACATGAGTTTATATCCATCTCCTTTACTACTTTAATTAAATATTTTTTTTCTTCCTTTTTTTTCAAAGGAAGTTGCAATCTAGCTATCATCTCAAGCAGTTGTTTCTAAATATGCCAAAGTTAGAGTTTTGCAAATCCTTATCGAAAGTAAGTCTCCCAAATTTAATTTTCATCTTATACATGTGAAGGAGTGCTTTCAACTATGAACCTTAGAAAGAATTATTTCAGAAGTAGACTGACAGATGAGCATTTAGCCTCGTTCCTTAGAATCAGTACCTCGCACTTTGAACCTCACTATAAGGAACTTTTAAAAACGAAGTCGCAATTTCATTCTTCTCATTAACATATTTAAATTGTAATGCTTGTATATTGTTTTTAAACTTTTTTTTTTCGATTTTTGGCCGCGACCGAAAAAGTTTGCCCATTTCTGCACTAGGGGGTGAATCGCCAAAAACTCGAGATAGAGGCCTGTCCACATCGGGGGATCTCTTTCTCTATCGTGCCCATCGTATCGTAGATATGAAAATTTCCGATTGGGCATTCGAACCGATTTTCTTCAGTGGGATTTGATGCTATGAAAGTAAACTCACTTCGAGCGCTGGGGAGGAGAGCAGCACGTGCACCGACTGCGTGACGTCACATGCATGCATCCTGTTGTGGTAGGGGACCTTCAGATAGTGGTCTTCCAACGTCATCATGTAGTTGAGCAGCGTCTTAGAAGGGATCTTGAACGTCTTCAGTAGGTCGCGCTCCTGAAAAAGCACCCAAACACTGTTAACACATCCAACGTCATGAAGGTATAAAAATTTAACATTGATTAAATGTTCTAGGATCGAAAGCAGCGAGAAACATTCGAGCAGATCTGTAGCGAGAACTGTGCCCTTCAGCTTTTTTTTTTTATAGCCTTTGAAAATACCACATCACACCATCGATATTCATCCGATTATTCATAAAAATTTTCGTATATTTTTTATAGAATTTAGAATTTTTTTTTTTTATAGAATTAGATAAAAATAGAATTTTAGATTTTTTTTGTTTTAAAAGAGTTGAGAGAATGAAATCTTCGAAAACCATGTTCGATGAGGATTGACTGCTGGATTGATATTATTTATTGTTAATTTTTCTCAATTTTCAGATATGATGGTTTTATTTGTTTAATCCACTTTGATTTATTTCATTTAATTGAATTATTTTTTATTAGCTTGTGAACTTTACAGCGTTATTAAACTGCGCATAGGATTGCTCTCATCATGAGTGGATCCATTTTGATGAGAATGTACGCTATATATGAACAGCTTTCTGAATTTTGACTTAATATTGCCCCCCTCCGAAACACTTACCAATCACAAATAAACCCAGCGCTGCGAAAATCGAAGTTTGAAGAGCCTTTTATACCATATTCCTTTTATTAATACAATCCTTCTAAATTGTATGTTCTGTTCGTTGCATGTCCAAAGAGTTCTTTGATACTTTCTTAAAAATTTTTAGGCATGTTGACATTTACACTCAAAGCCCCGCAAAGAGCATTAACATGTAATATGCCGAAACTATATTTATTGGAAGCGTCTTTTTCAGATTTACATTCACCATGAAAGAAGAAAATCTTGGAAGCTAAGAGAGACAAAAAAAAATGTGAAGGTGGGGAAAAGCTATGCGTTCCTATTTTAATGCTTGGAATGATTCCAAAGATAGACAGTGGAGAAATAAACTTTTAGAACTCAGTGAATGCTATGAACGAATCCCGCCGTCTGATGGCCAAGTGGATAGGCCTTTGGCACCACGGCCTTTCAGGTTCGAATCGGCATGGCTGTATATTAGTTGTTCGGAATCCACTCTAAACTGTAGGTTCCTTCTCTAATTAGCCCAAAGTGCGCAAAAAATGATCGTAGAGCGACAAACCAAACGAATCACTGCGATACGAAATTTGGTTAATTAAAAGTTGTCCAATTTTGTTAATTTGAAGTTCAAAAGCACTGCTTTAATGATTTACACAATCCTGCAAGGAAAATAAAAAGTTTTTCACTTTTCGAAATTTTTTCATATTTTAATGAGTTATGTCATTTGCAATGCTGATCCCAACAATGAAGGTGACTTTTTTCAATTACTTCACGTTTTTGTTTTACAAAAGGATTGAATAATTTGTTACCATTAACTGAAATGACGAAATTTTGTTAATCCATATTGATTTTACTAATCTATAAATTTGTGTTTGTTTCTTATCCCACTTGGCTGGCCGAGCCCATACGTACTCATGATTGGAGGGGAAGGAAGCAGCTTCTGTTGTGATGGAGCATCCGTAGGTAGAAGTCTGACTTTGGCTCCGTGACGCTCTTACACTCATAGGAGACCGGGACCTACAGCTTAAAGTGGATTCCGAACCACTACAAACATACATGGCACCGCCGGGAATCGAACCCGAAACCTGTGGCACCGAGCGCCAGACTCTCGGCCATTCAGGTCCCAAATGTGTGAATGTCAACGGCACGCGGTGTTCCCAGGTGGTCACCCACCCAAGTACTGACCGCTCCCAATTATGCTTGACTTTGATCTAACGAGAACCGGTGTATTCAGCATGGTATGGCCGTTGGCTAGTTTGTGCCAATAACAATAAATGAACAACATATAAAAATTAAATGTCAAGTCCTCACAATAACGTTTTTGCTTTTCTTTCAGTGAATAGTGTATACGAGTGTTTGTCTCTATTTAATTTCCATTTTTTTTTCTGGATTATTGTTTTAATATACTAATTCATCAGTGAAATTAATATATTTTGTGGAAACGTATAAATACGGCTTTCTTGCGCCTTAATATATTGAATTCTTAAAATTAAATTCCGATTGATGATAATTTTTTTTATTCCCTCCCCCCCCTAAAAAAACCCCCGCTTATTTCGCGGGCAATTTTTTAAGTGTTGACCTGTGTTATTTACCACATAAAAACGGAGAAGGAATAGAGCTTCAGTACTGATAAAAATTATTACACTTATAACAAATTACATTACCTAATGTAATTTAAACCAAATTACATTACCTAATGTACCTAATGTAATTACATTACCTAATGTAATTTGTTTTCATTTAAATAAACTTGACCCAGGCTGTCAACCATGACGTGAATCCAAACTGTCAAATTTTTTAAGAAACTCAAGGACACCCAAAACAGTTCGGCGAGGCTATTTCTACTTGAACTCTGTTTCAATTTGACTTATGCAAAGTAAAAATGAACCATATGAATAAACGCATCGAATCAAATGTCATTCAGATGCACTTACGAAGCGGCAATTCAAGAGTTTGCAACGAACAAAATTCTGAGTCTACTGAATTTAAAGGACTTCTAAAATATCTGACTTCAACTTTCTTGAAGTATTTTTTTTAATTCGTTTTTTTTTCTCTCCAAGTAGAAAACCTGATGATGTAAAATGTTTCGAGGGCATAAAAAGATTATTTATTCAATTTTAAGAACTTCTAACAGCTTTGAAACTCTACAGTTTAAAAGGATTAAAATCTAAATATTGGAAGATTTGATTAGTTAAGTATGAACTATCTGAGCTTTTGACGAAGATTTGTGGATCAAGTTTTATTTGAAATAGAATGCCATCTTTATAAAGTAAATAATATTAACTTCATAGTCTTCAGATACCAAAAATTATAAAACAAAGTGTTGCATAAAAATGTCAATGCAATGGTTGCCAAACTTCCCAAAGTAAGAAAAAAAATTTTTTTTTTCGTTCTAATGCAGCTGGCAACCACTTAGAAAATTGTCTTTGATGCCTTAAGGCAAGCGCTGCACAGACGTTACTCACTTTGCATTACCCAGGGGGCCAGGGTCACTTGAAGATAAGCCACGGACGCGGAGTAACAATGCCCCCGCAACGCTCTACGATCCTGTTTGGACCGGGACCTACGGTTTAAAGTGGATTCCGAACCACTACAAACATCCATGGCACCGCCGGGACTCGAACACGAAACCTGTGGTACCGAGCGCCCGAGCGCTAGCCACTCGGCCATCAGGCCCCAGTAAGAAAATATAAATATTATTTTTTTTTGTACTTGCGATAGCGGAAGTGTTTCTTTAGAGCAGGGGTCTCCAAACTTTCCAGCCTTAGGGCCATACTGTTTACTCCAGTAAGTACCGAGGGCCAAAACCGTTTTAATTTTTCTGCCATTGTCTATAATTTCTAGACTAGTCGCCGAGTACGCGCTCTGAGCAAGCATACGCTTGCTACATTCGCTTCATTCTCCAAAATGAAGTACACAAAGAATGTTTATAGATCTAAGTTAACCGATGAACATCTTAAATCTCTGTTACAAGTAAAATCGATCCACTATTGTCAGTGAAAAATTACAATTACATAAATTTACAAGTGGATACCCCACGGTTTTATTCGCGTTCATTTAGCTTTTCCGTTCCTGAGGGATTTTCAGGATAAAAATCATATGTTTGATTCAGGATATATACATTCAAAACATCGATATACATACATATACGATACTCTTTACCCCAACATAACTACCGCAGGATGTTCACTAGTTTATAATGTTAGTGGGATTCATTTCAATGATTTGTCAGATGTTATGCTTAAGCTAAATTTTCTGCGTATTATACTTGCCCTTAAGCTATACCCAGCAAGTCAATAAAATCGAATTATTATCATTCTGTGTTTTTTCATCCAACTCATTATAGCAACAATATGCTATTCGCTGTCGCGGGCCGGATGGATGACACTGGCTGCCCGGATTTGGCCCGCGGGCCGTAGTTTGGAGAACCCTGCTTTAGAGCATACAGAATGTTTATTTTGTCGCTTATCATTTGACTTTCACGTATGTCACGAACAGCCTTACTGTTAATTCAAGTACTCAAAAGGATTTTTACCGATCTTCTTTAAAAAAAAGTGATTTTTTAAAATTTTATTTGAAATAATCATATTGAGAAAAGTTTCTGTTTTTTTTGGGGGAAGAGGGGTGTAGAGAAACGGGAAACAAAAAAAAAGGCACACTGTTCTATATCGTTAATAAAATACTTTGTTTTGACTTGTAATTTGACAGCAACTAAATAAGAAAAAAAGGCGGCCTTTAATTGAAAATGAATCTTTAGTTATTGTTTAGATTTGAAATCTGGAATTTCTTTGTGAGAAGTCATCTTCAGGATCTCGAATCGAGAAGCACAGTGTCATGCTGGACGACAACAAAGGGAGCAACGAGGAAGAACTGGCAACTTCCAGTTCATATATAGCAAGATAAAAAAATTTGAACACTTTTAATATGTAACTTCAAAAAAAATTATTCAATATTAAACATCCTTAAAATGTTAGGTTTGCAGAATAAACAAGCTGTTTAACTTCCTTTCGATGTAAAGCATTAATCTGTAGTTACAAAATTTTATGTTGTTTAAAGAAAAGAAATGCATGAACTGGATTAAAATGGAATAAAATTTCTTAAAAATGAACTTCATTCGAAAACACACCAAAATTTCATACGAAATGTAGTGCGATGTATGCCGAGTCATTGGCAAGTGGCGCACCGATTACGGAGTACCAACAGGGGGGGAAATACCCCTCAAACCTCCTCGTCTTAATTCATAGATAGGCTTTAGATTTTAATTGGCTGCTTGGTTAATGTTAGCAGAGATGCAAGATAAAGTTTCTAAAAATTCAGTTAATGGGGTACTCGAAAAAAAAAAAAAAAAAAAAACTAAGAATAAATAAAAGTAAAATACAAAAATAAAAGAAGTTAAGTTTAAATTCGGTACAATGAGGATCTAAGGTGGGGAACTCACCCTGAATATCTGGTAGGCGATGGCCGTGAGGGGCCTCAGATTGGAGAAGGTGTCCAGCTTGAAGACGTCCAGCCCCCACTTGCCAGAGTCTTCCAGCAGCTGCCAGGGAGAGACAAGATACAGGATCAGTGAGACAGAACAACATCGTACGAGAAGAATGATAGGCGGTGGGTGTTATATTTGCACGTCTAGCGTTAAGTTATATTCTTTGCGCGTGTAGCGTTAAATTGCATTGTTTGCACGTGTTAATGTCTTAACTTGTCTTAAGTTAATGTCTTGTTAAGTTATATTCTTTGCGCGTGTAGCGTTAAATTATATTTACATGTGTAGCGTGTGTTAATAGAGAGTTTTTGCATACGGGTATGCAAAATAATGTTAATGTTAATGCTCCAATGTTTAATGTTAAGCGAAATTGGCAACGTTAATGTTGTTCTATGAAAACTAAAGATGGCTGTTTAGGCTTTGTAATTTTACTTTATTGTGGCGAATCTGGGATTCCAGTAAAGCTAGTGTGACTTGCAATCCGATTATCGAAAGCATAAACTTTATTTTGAAAGAGAGAGAACGCAAGAATTGTATGATTGTTAGTAAGTTACTTGCTTTACGTTAAAGTGGGGTTATTACAATGGCTAACCTGGATCGAAATGAATTACAGTCGGAAATGAGCTAAAGTGCTGATAAAAAATGGAACGCGGTCTTTTCTTTGCTTATCTAGAATTTTGATTATAATCCAGAAGATTTTGAAGAAGCGGATTTTTAGAATTTGGAATTTTGTGCAGAAAACTTTCTGTAATCTTTTTGGCATAGTTTAAAATTGGATCGATATTTAATTTGTTGTGTGAGAGAAAGATAGAGCGACATCGTATGAAAAGAGTGATGTGGAGGGTAGGGGTGCTCACCTTGCCTAATTCCATCTCGTTGTCCGCCTCCACGCCGAACCGGGGCAGCTGGGTGAGGCTGTTGGTGTGGCAGAGGGGCTTCTTCACCCCACAGATCTTGGAGAGGGGAGCCTCCCCTCCCCCCCTCGACTCCTCCAGGGCGGGCAGGTCGAGCTCCTGCTGCTTGTCTGCAGGGAAAAAGCACGTGCACTGTTATATGGTGTGACATGGAAACGGGGTCATGGGAGCCATGGTTAATACGAGCATGAGCTCATGTGTTAACATGGACAATATTGTATGGCATGGTAACAGGAGAATGGTGCAGTGGTTAACATGAGAAATATTACATAGCGTGACATGATAACGGGTGCATGTGCTAACATAGTTAATATTATAGTATATGGCAGGGATAGGGCAAACTACGGCTGGCCGGAAAGTTCCATCCGGCCCGCGGATAGAATTTCAATTTGCCGGTCCGAGGCAAATTAAGAGAAATGCATATTTAGATATTACATATCCATCTCCTTTTCTACTTTGATAAAATATTATTTTTTTTCTTCTTTTTTTTCAAGGGACTGATGATCTTTTTACTTTCTCTATTTCTGTTCTACAAATCATAAATCGACGGAAATAGTAAGCACAAACAGCTTTCAATCGGTAAAGTGTTAAAAGCGGAAGTTCTTTGTTATAGCTGTAGATTGGCGACAACAAGCGTCATCTCTTTATCGGGGAACGGACATATGGAAATCCAATATAGGTGAATTGGACCTCACATTTGGCAGACTGTGCATTTTAAGCTCCAGCCAGCGGCAAATTCTTTTGGCGCGAGTGGATTGATTGCGTATGGAAAGATTTCGGACGTATACCATCATTGAGAATAGTGGGGAAATTATTAAAAGTAGCTAGTGCTTGTTTGGGTTATTCGTAAAATAT